TCTCTATTAGAGCAATTTGAAATTTTTTATATGCAATAGCAAATCTAATTTAGGTAGTTATATTCCTTATAATTTCATTTCTTTAAAAAAAATGTCAAAAAATTTTGTCTTTTAAGTAAAATAGGTCAAAAACAATTTCGGCTTCAAATTTAATTTCGTATTCTGAAACCTAAAATAATTTTGTTAGTATATATATATGATATATAAGATATTCTTCTGAATACTCATCTGGTTATTAAATTCACTGGCACTGTCCATTTTATACGTATTATTTATTATCATACAGAGTTTTCCAATATGAAAGTAGTAAATATTGCTGATCTTTTTGAGGTGATATGCTAACTTCACCACTTTTTGTTAAAAATTATAACCAAAAGTATCAAAGAGAAAAAAATACTGTATTTGCAAGAGCTCAAAACAATGAAAGTGTTTCCAGTTGTTTTTTGTAGAACTAAAAAGCTTTAGACACTTAAGTCGAGAGTTTTTCACCACTACTGTTATCAAAATAATCCTTTTGGCTTGGATGCCAAACATGCAAGGGAGTCTACCAAGAAGAAAAGCTTGACCCAAAGCACAAACCAACTATATACGCCTGCTTCTTAATGTTTCATATATAAGTCTTTGTCAACAACAGTACTAATAAAAAACCTTAGGTATTTTTAGACTTTTTAGAGTCTTGAATCTTCAAACTATTTTGATATAATCTTGGTTCAAGTGATCATCAGAAAGAGTTGTTTTGAACTATGTTTTAACTATATATAATTTTAATTTTGTAATTTATTTATAAAAATTAATACTTGTTTTAAAAGCAAAAATTTTTTTAACTTTGAAAGCATTTAAAACTTTAGAAAACTTAAAAAAATTTTAATAATAAACTCTAATATTACACAAACTTAAAAATTTTTTAATAATTTTAAAAAATGTTAATAAAATAAATCTTTAAAAATATTTTTTAATTAAAAATAAACTGAACAGTTTAAAGATAACTATCTAAATTAAGAATAGTAAATGAACTAAAATAACTCAAATAACCCAAATGTCAAATGACTAGTTATTTGTTATTTCAAGGCCCAAATGATCTTAAAAAGGTATTAATATATGTTAGTTAATATTCTAACAAAAAATATAATCAATATCATAGCTATATATCAAAATTAAATTTTACTAAATCAATTAATATTTATGCCTTAAATAAAGTTGTTCAGGATAATAAATTGTATATGTTCTGAAATTTTTATATAAATTGATTTATTAATTTACTTCTGCATCTTACATATGAAAAATTTTTAAATTTTTTTATATAAATATAATATGTAAAAGTAAATTAATAAAAGGTCAAAATACATATAATTTATTATTCTGAACAACTTTACTTAAAGCATAAATATTATTAGAGACTTGTTAATACCACCCCCATTTTTGTTAATGCTACCATCTACATAGCTCTAATTGGTTTTTAACTTTTTCAGAATTCTATAAACAATGCTTGCCTAATTGCTAATTAATCACATGAATTCACATTGTTTCTAAATACTATTTGTAGAATTTTCAAGATTTAGACCAGTTAGAGTTATATAGGGGGTGGCATTATACTTGCTGGCAAAACCCGGACAAATTCCAAATAATAAAAAAACAATTGCTATCTATAAAAAATCAAATCAAATAAATAATCTTAATATTTTGCAAATATATTATTTATAACTATAAGAATATATACAATTTGTTTAAATAAAGATTATTAATAAAGTTTTTGAGATATTGGTGTTGCTAGAATTTGGGATTTGGGATTTGGGATGGCGGACAAATCCCAAACTATAGTAAGTCGGGATTTTGCCAACATGTATAGGTGGCATTAACAAAAGTGGGATGCATTAACAGTTATCTATTATTATCAACCAATAAAATTACTTTATATGCAAATGACTTAATAATCCAAATGACCTGGTCATTATTTGATGACTTGGGTCATTTAAATTTTGATCAAATAACCAGGTCATTTACCATCCCTGATCTAAATAATGCATGATTTATGTGGGGCACGAAAAGATTTCCAAAAAACAGTTTTTGTTGAACTTTATTAGTAAGAAGCATTAACTTCGCCATAATATCCACACTCACTAGGGATGTTATATGGTTCGGTCTTAGACCAATAGACCACAGTTAGTCTTAAAACCGGTCTAAACTCGAAAAAAATTGGTCTGCTCTAAGTCTTAAGACTGAACCAGTCTGGACTGATCTAGATTAACAAAGTCTTAAAAATGAAGACCATAATAGACCAGACCAAACCTGGACCAAAATAGACTAGATTGGACCAGACCAGACTGTTAACATCCCTAACACTCACCTTATTTAAAATTTTTTACTTTCATTTTGTGAAGATTTTTATTACATAATTAGCTTTTGTTACTTATAGCAAACTTTTTTATTGAATATTCTATTCAAAAATCAAATAAAAAATTTTTTAAAAATTTGTCAAAATGGACCCTTTTAATACAAGGCATCCCATATATCATATATATCTTAAACCTGGACAGGTTCGCTGTATCTTTTGATAACCACATATCCCGGTTCAGTATGGTGTTTCCGCTCTTCAGGAGTCGGTACTTTTTTAACGTTCTTAACTTCCAAAAGTTCTTTAACTTTCAGGATCATACCAGCAATGATAGGAGTTTGCGAATGATAAACAGTTTGGGATAGTCTAGATAATCCGAGGGCTTTTACTACAGCACGAAGTTTTTTAGGTAATCCTATAGGCGATCGACGTAGCGTGATTTTAAAGAATCCGGTGGGTACCTTTTCGATGTGACTTGCAAGCGTTGCTGATGAGTTTTGTGAGAGTCGGGGCCGAGGTTTTGAGATGTTTGAGGAAGAGATGACTGTTGGTTTAATGGATGACGGGAAGTTTAGAGCTGTGACGATACGTCTATACATGGGTGTGAAAATATTTTGTTCTTGACGTAAATTTAAATGGAGAAATGATTTTTGACAGCAAGGTCGTTTGCAGAAAGAAAAATATTTCCGTCAAAATATTTTTGTGTGATTTCCCATGGTAATCAACCAATCAAAATGCATAATTTGTAAAATTTATCGTACTACAGTCGTCCCACCATATCTGATATAGTCACCTCGGTTAAAGGGTATAAAAATAGCGGAAGTTAATATGTTTTTTTTTATTGAAGTGAAATGCAGCTAGCTTACAATGAAAAGTTTTGTTATACCAAGTAAACCTTCCTTGAGTTTCTAACAAATATTATAAAGCAAACTATTTCGGTTCTAATAGTGGTAGAATTATTAAAATTGGTTAGTAAATTTTTACTATGAAATTTATACCCTTCAACTGCGATCTACCACTTTATAAGAAAAAACCTCCTTTATAAGCACATTTCAAAAAAAAATTTACTATGCGCCCAACTGTGTGATTGTATGGGAGGGCGACTGTACTAAAAACGAAAAAAACTTCATATCAGATATAAAGAAGCTCAAAAACTGATAAATATACGCTAAAGAATTTATCACATATATCTAGAGAATAGATAGACACGCGTAAAGTTATATTTATTACCAATAGTTATATTTATTACTAATAAACCCAAACTCATTAAAGAATTTTCATGATCCAAAGCTTTAACTTACACATTACAAGAACCGACCAAATTTAAACATTGGCCCAGATCTTCTACTACTAAAAAGCTTGCACCTATTCAAATTGAACAGTTAGCAATAAAAATTTAACGTAATAAAATAGCTTTAGACAAAAACATTTCTAGTTGCAGTATAATTTGATATGGTCCAATAAACGGCAGGTATATTTTGTCTTCTAAACGAAGTTCTTCAATTTCCGATTATTTTGTACAGTCAATATTCATGCTCTTGCGAAGCTAACGGTAAAAAACGATTGTATTTTTTATTAGTGAAACGTTACGTTATTGAAAAGTACTTTAAAAGATATAAACAAGTTAGCCGGGTAATAGATTTACATCAGCCAACCATACGAATGTCCTTCTACGGCCTTTCTCGTCTTTTGTGTTCGACAGTCTATAATATTTTTTGACAGTCATAAGATTTTCGACAGTCAATAATAATTTCGACAGATGAGAATAGTTTCGTCATACACCATTTTGGAGTGCAATGAAAATAGTGTTTACTACAAAACTATATACGTAAACAGAACTCTAAATTTCGAGTAGACTCATTTTCAAGAAAAATGAACAGGCGAATTTAAAATTAGTCGAGTCCCAAATAAGGGGGATGGCTAACGCCCGGTGCGTTTATATGTTTTGATTAGTTAATTAAATTAAGGTAAGGATTAGTTAGGAGTTAAAGTTTGGGCAAAGTTTCTACGTAAAATTGTCTTCTCGACAGTTTTTATTAATGCCCCGCGGCAGGTTAAGACACTCATTTCTCGTGTTTTTTGCGTTTTTCACTTTTTTTCTTTGTTTTTGTCTCGTCGGGCTGATCCGGGCAAAATCAAAATTTTACGACTTGATTGGTTGTAAGTCACGTGAACGCACCAGGAGGGACCGTCCAAATAAGGAAATGATGATCCCGATTATGCATATTGGTTTAGCCAATCAAAACAGTAAATTTTCATCATGTGAAAGATATTATATGCTGATTAACTAATAAAAATCATGAATGTTTGATAAAATAAAAAGAAATGAAATTAAAGAAATTTTAATTAAAATTTTGACAAAGTTCAAAATAAATGCCACCCAATATTGTTGTTGGTTAAGTAAACATGTATCTATTAATTTAATTGATAATCCATTTCTGAATAAAGCA